TTTTGTCTAGCATTTGGAAGACATAAGGGAAGTACAACAATGGCATAGAGAGGACTTGGATGGCCAAGCAGGCTCTAGGAGCCTTTCGAGGCAGGGAGGAAGGGTGGATGTGGCGGAAGGTAAGCGTTGAGATTTCGCCTTTACTTGCGAATAGCAAGTGTAAAGTGAGTAAATGCACCATGCACGCTATAAGCACTCAAGCACGTGCGCAGGGGGCTAGTGTGCATCCACTCCGGGCAACAGTACCCATGGAAAAAAAAAGTAGAGAAGTTGCCATGCTGTCTGAGTTCTTTTTCGGAGCGGATTCTCCCTTGACTGGTTCCATGAGCTCTCTCTTTTTTTTCCTATCTTGTTTGATATGATAAGATAGACAAATCAGAGGTGAGTTTCCCATTTTTATTGTTTTAGTTTTGTTTTGTTCCTAACCCAAGGCATGTCCAAGTTAGTTTGGCTTATTGTTTTTGTTTCCTGCCCTAGGGGTGTCTTAGGTAGCAAGAAGAGAGCATTTGCCCATCTTGCTTTTGGCTCCTTTAGTCTTGCTTTGACTCTTAGTCTTTTATACTCTAATGATTTATAATTGTTTTATTGGTCCTAACCCAGGGTTTGTCTTGAGGTATGACGACCATTTTGTTCTGCCTCCTTGTACATTCTTTTTCTATTCATGCATACTTACCAAAAAAAAAAAAAAAAAAAGGTTTTACTTTGCCAATCCATGTGCCTAAGTGTAGATCACATCATGTGCTACACAATTAAGAGGCTTTCACTTTAGTATTCACCGTCTCAACTAACCGCTCATTTTGTCAACTTTGAGGCCTAACCTATTGGCTTCCTCCTTTCGAATAAAGTTATGAGAAGCTCTAGTGGCTACCATTCTTAAGTAGCCTTCCCATTGATGTGAGCTTCCATGTACATGAGGGTTTCTCATTCAACTTAGTGAAACTGGATTGCTTTCAAAGCACTAAGAGTTAAAAAAGACCACATTGAATCTTCTCATCCAACTCTCATTCAATGATGACATCAGTACACTTTTCTTCGAATATCTGACACTGCAATGTAGATCGTTACATATGAAATGGTTATTCCGAGGCTTGGCTTCTATCTTACCCTTATTTTACTCCTTGGTTGGTTTGGCTCTTTTGGTCATTGGAAGAGGACTTTTTCGCTCCCCCACCTTTGCCATACTTCGTTTGAATGTTTTTATTTAGATGAGTTACTTCTTGGTAATGTTGGAGAGTCTCTGTTATCGTCATGGTCAAGGACACATATTTTGCCCGATGCCTTCTTATTTCCTGTTGCCCAATTTTTGAGTCTATTCATGAAATTGAAAGCAAATCATCCTTACCATGTTTTTAATCTGTAACATAAGCCAAAAAAACTATTTGACATAGTCAGCTATGGAATGAGTGTGTTTTACTTCTTCTTCTCTTTTTTTGCATCATGAGCCACATTCTTGAGATAGAGTTGTTGCTTCACTCCTTATTCAATCTTCCTATGTCTCAATTCTGCAAGTCCTCTCTTTATCTCATCATACTTCCTACACCACCAATTAGAAGCAAGGTCATGAAGATACATAGTGGCTTGATTTGTCTTTTCCTTTTCCTCGAATAGCTTTATTGCACTAAAGTAGCATTCCATGTGCCAAAGGAAATTGTTCAACTCACCTCCCATCTCACTTTCCATTATACTCCATGGTCTCGAGTTTGAACACGTGAGGTCACAACTATAGATGAAAAGATGACTAGCTCCGTTGCAATGACCTTTTTATAAATAGCCCAGTATGTCCTTATCTCTTCCAAAGCCATCTTCACCTCCTTAGCTTGAGCTTGATGCTTGCCAATGCTTCAACACCTTTGCTTTGAAAGCTTTAAATAAGTCGCTGGTCACTAGATGGCTCTTTGTGACACTCTTGTAATCAATCGGATGGAATCTCCATGTCTCTAACTTCTTGTCAGCTTCTTCCACAGATTGATCTAGTTATCCAGCTTCTCAGCATGGTTGCCAATGGCAACCAAATTTAGTTGACTTGGCTCCCATGTATCCAACTAGGGGTGAAATCGAACCAAGTCGAGTTGATACTTGGATACTCAACCGCTCAGTTGCTACAATACTGAGTTCGAGTCCGAGCTCGAGCAATTCGAGCTTGAGGAGTCGAGTTCAACTCAAACTCAGTACATAAAATTCAAATTCAAGCTCCAATTGGTAGAAAAAACTGGAAAAAATGATGATATGATGACATGGATGAACTCGTTATCCTATGTTTGTCTAATGTGTCAAAAATTGGAAAAATAAAACATGTCTTGGGATCCTATGTCTGTCTAATGTTTCGTTAATCCATTTCCGATCACTAAACCTACAACCTCTGATTTGGGGCCACCAACTCGCTTCTTATACATCTCTCTATTTTCTCCTTTGCGGATGATGGTTCTTTGCTTTAATAGTTGAGCAAAGATCGAAGAAAAGAAAAGATGAAGGGAAGAGAAAAGAAAGATGAAGAAAGCTGACTATTTGACTGCTGGGGTGAGATGTGGATAATTTTTTTCTCAACCTCGACCCATACCAAATAAGTTCTTCAATTGCACAAGGCAATACAATCTACGTAATGAAAATCTTAAATAAAATAATATCCTTCACATTTTTGACATAACATTTAAATAAAATTAGGATGGCGACATGTCCAAAGACAAATGTAACATAGATCCTACATTATTGACATAAACATTATTTAAAATATATTTAAGTCTTTTGCTTTTACTCAAATCATCATCTTCTCTCACAATTCAACAGATTCGAACAAAAGGAAACATCAGTGACGGAAATGGAGAAATAGAGAGAAGTGGCCATTGCGGCAGGAAGCTGTTAAAATTTGCCGAGCTCATTGAAGCTCGCGAGCTTATCGAGCCGAGTAGTACGTGATAGAACTCGGCTCGACAATGTATCGATTCGATCAAGCTCGAGGTATTGCTGAGTTGAGCCCGAGCTTCTCGCTCAAATTTCGCCCCTATTTCAACACATCGCGAGATCTTGAATGGCCACGGGATTTCTTCCCTTACTGCAGCATTCTCTTACCCCCACTAGTATCACTCGAGTTCCATCACTTCATGTCATCATTCCCTTCTTTGAGATGTGATCTAAAAACCAACATTTGAACTAACTGAAACGATCCTAGAAGAATCGTGCCCTTGTGCACAAAACAAAAGTCGGACACTAAGTAAGCCAAATGACCACAAACTTTCAAGAAAATAGCGCAAAACAAAGATGAGAGAAAAACTATATTGTGTTTTTCTCAATTGAATACAATGCTTGAAATATGAAAATAATCTAAGGCGTTAACTTTATATAGAGTTTACAGTAGATCGACTGATCTAGATGCGCACATATCCATTAAGATTGATGGTTTGATTATTATACAAGTAATTGAACTCTAGTCTTATTTTGCTACTTTTTCGTGAAAAAATATTTTGGAAACTTTTGAAAGATTATCTACATATTCTTTGACACTTTTGGGTCAGCCTCTTGAACTGAATATTGGGTCTCATATGGACTTGGACTTGGGTCGGACGTGACACTAGGAATGGTTTTTAAAATTACCCCATTAAAGTATATGAATTGGGTAAAGAGATCGGTGTAATATACAATAATAGCTTTCACAACATTTTTCACTAACATCTCTCACTAACCTCATGTGCTAGCTCGCAATTGGCTTGGTCACGGACCCATACGAACTGACCAATTGCGAATTGACACATCGCGTTGTGAAAGAAAATTAGTGAAAAGTGTTTGTGAGTGTAATATTACTCGTAAATATAAGGTTAGACAAAATATAGGTTGAAGAAGGAGACATAACGTCGAAACAACAATAATGGTGTCTAAAATTTTGAGAAGGTTGAGGGTGTGTTGGGCCATCTTTGGCACAATCACAGGCCCTACAATTTGAAACCAGGGCTTAAAGTGTTATCTATATTTAACCACCAAATCCTAACCGACCCTGCCTTTTTAATAATGTTGCATTCTTCACATGGCTTTAACTACTTGTTCATCTTCTGTTTCTTTTATTATATTCCATCCCAAGTCTAAACAAAATTAATGTTTTAAACAACTAAGAGTGGTAATGACAACATGATGACCATAAATATTGATGGCAATGGCCGGCAGGGACCGGGTACCCCTTGGCTTAGGTCCAAGCCCGATCTCATGACATAGGCCCAAGCTCGGCCCGAGCTTGTTATGTGTATGATAGGCAAAGCCCAAGCTCGGCCTGACGGTTTTTTTTATAACGTAGGCCCGGCCCAAGCCTGCCTTTTTTTAATAATGTTTATTTTTAAATATTAATAAATTTCAAATTTTTTTAATATTTTTTAATTTTGAAATAGTTTTAAAATATAATTGAAGCTATTTCCACAATAATTTAAGCAATAAGTGAGCAATTAAAACTCTATAATATTTGATTATAATAACTTTTCAGTTGTGCATAATATGTTATGGTGAAATCCACTTTTATAAGTTGAACCAAACCCATCTAACTTATTTAAAGGCAATTTTACCATGTTAACCTTCAATATGGGATGAAATTGAGATTAAAGTTTGGGAAAAATGGATATATATATGTAGGATAATTTTTAATTAAATATAAGTATAAGGGTAAATTAGTAAATTATACTCAATTTTTAGGGACGGGCCCGGCCGGCCTAAAGATATCCCATGTCTAGCCCGTATCCGAGGTCAGACCTTAAAATCAAACCCAGACCCAAGCCCAACCCGCCAACCTCGGGTAAAACCAGCCCCTTTTGGGTTAGGCCTGCGGGTATCCAAAAATGTTGAACCCATTGTCATCTCTAACCATAAATGCTTTCCTTACTAAATAGTGGCATTAAATAACAAATCCTGGCCCTGAAAGTGGGAACTGGCCACCTACCTTAACATATTCTTTGTCTGCCACTATCTCTGTTTAATTAATAATATACCAAAATCAACTCAATCACCAAGAATTAGTTGCTTATAATCTCCCAACTTTGTAATATACGAAACAAATAAGACAAAAGAAATAATATGAGTCTTTAATATTTCACCATTAATCTTTTCACTCAACAATGCCTACTACTCTCTCACTTTGTACATTCAAACCAAAATGTGATAATAAAATAACATAATACATGATTTAGCTACTTTTACTACGTACGTACCATTTTTCTGTTGCTCTTTCAACATAATAAAAAACCAAGCCAAGAATGATTTGCCTTTCAACCCAGAGCATTACAAGGATTAATGTTCCCCTGGAGTTGGCTAGGATCAATGACTCCAGCTTTGCTCTCATCTCACACTTGAGAATGTAGAGCTTCCATGATTTCAAGTTTTCAACAGTGCTGGAGAGACCCTTCACCCCTTGGCGAGAAACGGTTCATTTGATAGTCAGGGCCCTGTTTCGAGCCCCATTCACCACAATTCTTTCACTTTTTTTCCCAGAAAAATCTCCTCGTTTTACGCTGTCATCTGAAAGTGGATTAAATCTGAACAACTGAAATCCTTGATGCTGTGGGTAATACCCATTGCCATTGCTGTCGGAGTACGTATGTTGTGGTTGCATTTGACCGATGGAAGAATCACCACTCCTCGTATTCTGGGGTAATATTGATCCAGAGCTTGTGGAGTTACTAGGATGTGTTGAAACTGTCACGGTAGGGTTTGTTCCATTGTCATGTGACGCATTAGAAGCATGAGCATCACCCTTCTTCGTGTTTAAGAAACGACCTCCACAACCTCTTGCCCTCCTCATAGCATGTAAATGTCTGGACTCGTGAAGATAGGGCTGTTCACACAAGACAACGACAGAGAGAATAGGAAAATGAAACAAAACCTTGCACATAAGGATGAAACAAAGAAAAGTATTTGAAGTACTCCGAGAAGGCAATGAAATATGGGTGCCATCAATAAATTTATTTAAAAGGTCGAATTTTTCATCAATCTCAATGAGTCTAGATGCAGTAGATAGTCTCATCAACAAAACATATATATATAAAGCAACAAATCTTCTGAATAAGATTTAAGTATTACTGACTACCATGATAAGAAACACCACATAACCATCAAATATTTTTCACCTCCGAGAAGTGCGACATATGTTGACTCCAATGTTCAGCATAGATAATTTTCCCCTTTCCATATAGTATGCATCAGTAATATCGTTTTTTAGTCCCCCCAAAGGCAAAAGTTGTATCACAATGAACAAATTTGTTATGTTGAAGTTAAAATATGCGTCAATGCACATGCACAAAGTACAGTTAGAATCCCGGCAGCATTTAAACAAATTGAATTCAAGTGCACAAATTCACGCCATGGAATAATTCTTGATCATCTTATAAGAACTTATAATTCACACTTGAAGACACAGCAGATATCTAAGCAATGTTCAGAGTAATGGCCACAGCAGCTACATCTTCCTAAATCGCAACACATCATAATTGCTCAGTTTAACATTGCCACATCGATGAATAAACATGATTCTTGAAGCCTTATTTACATCCTAGGCAATTTTCAAATAAACTGCAATTGAGTAATTAGTTGATACTCTTAATTTCGCTGAACATCGAAGCAAGCACTAACATATCAATCAACTTTACTAATCGCCAATCAGAGTTTTATTTAATACTTACCATTAGGTTTCAAACATTGATAGCCAGAGACGTCTATTCTGCTAAAAAGAAAAAGTCAATAGATTCGAAACTTTTTTCTGGTTGTTCTTATCTCAACATTCAGAGAGCTTTCTCTTCCCTTGACATAAAAAGCTAAGGCATTGTTATGCTCATAGACAACTTATGTTTCACTCCTTCAAAACCCATCATTATTCTAACCTCATTACGAAATCTGCATGATACCAGCATCTATAATTCAAGCCTGTAAAGAAACTTTAAAATCTAAGTGAATAGTAATTATAATAGAAAGAAAACACCCTCATGCATGACCTAAATAAAGGAAATTTTTTTCCATTTCTTATGGCGTACCATTGTCATCTAAGAAAACAAACATATCATTAATCACGTCACTCCACTCACAAAGCATTAGGTCTGAAAAAATCAGAATCCATTCATATTGATCCCATTCATATTGATCAATAAGGTTAAAACGGTTTCCATGTAACTGAATTCTGTCTATCCTTTCTATCCAGCTGAGCAATAAAATTTCCACAAACAATCACATTGAAAACTGTACCACATGCATTCACCCATCTATGCATGATCTCTAATACATCACAACCTACTTTAGTATTGTAAATAATTATGAAAACAGATATACCTAGAGGCTAGCAGAGGATACATTCATGCATTATATGTTGACTGATAACCGTCGAAATGAATGCGTATACAAAAATGAAATAGATTACCTTTCTGACTTTTATCAGTTTCTTTTCCAACTCAGCCTTGGCACGTATCTGCCTTCGTCTCAGAATTCCATGGTACTGCTTGGCATTCACATAGACAGGTTCCTCTGCCATTTCAAGGGGCAATGCCATTCTAGCTTGATGCACTCCAACACAATGAGAATGAACCTAAAACAATCTCTGGTTATTATATTATATAACATTCTAGGTTTTACTGCATTATTTTATTAAAATAAATTATCCTTTTAATGTCTATACTATCTTACAATATCTTATAGCCAGGATATCAATACAGCCCCAAAACCAATTATTTAAATATAGCTTGCTCTTTATAGACTTGGCATCACTTTCTTATACTAGAACGTATAAATTTCAATCAAAAGTAGGATATGCGAGACCCACCCATGTATATTGCTACCCCTTTTACATCAAGTCTTTAAGAAGAATTGGATTTCTTTTATGTAGAAATGATAATAAGCAAGGCAAGATATTGTATCTGTTGAACTTCATTTTTATATCATGCAAGCTGTATTTCATTCAAGTCAAGTATAAGGCAGGCACAACAACCACCATTGATCCTAACAACACTTCTGAATAAAGGTATTGATAAAAATTATCTCAAGAAACTTTACTATTCACCATTATTTGTTTTTATTAAATACCCTGAGCTTTCAGCAAAAGTTTGTTCAAGGCCAATGATATCAGCATAATAACTCGCAATGATTTGTTCCACGCAAATGTTGCTTGGAAGATATATAGTAAACTAATCAAGTACAAAGAAAAAGGAAAGACAAGACTAAATTCGGAACTTCCATTTTTTACAGAAGGTATTACTTAATTCAGTATGGTAAAAATAGTTTTTGCCATATGAAACCTAAAAATCCACTTTCATTTTTTCCTACCAGAGTGTCTATCTATCAAGAAAATCAAAACCATATATCACGAATATTTTCGACAAATAAATTACAAAAAGCTGAGAGAAATTAATTTTTGAGCAATTGTAGATCAACTAAGTTATCCACTCCATGATAGCTCACAAGTAAAAACAGACCTTCTCAATTCGTATTCACAAAACATTGGAGCTGTACGCTTAAGATGATTTGAGCGACTAGATAAATTATACATATTGAAGAAAGAAGCAAAGTTCTACTTGATTTTTAAAATCCAGCTACATTTCTTTTGTTCAGAGAGAAACATATTGAAAAATCTTAAGTGCATTTTGATGGGAGCGTCAAGATTAGTTTTTGGATGCAATCTAAAAAACTCATAAAACATGAAAACAATAAAAATTGTCTCCACTCTTTGGAGACTCCAAATGGTATATTAGTCATTGAAAACTTTTTTTGGATACCAAATAAAACACCCCCCAAGCATCCTCATACCATATCAAATATAAACAAGAGGCAAGAAGTTGCATACTAAAGCCTGAGGTCCACAAGCAGGCACAACTCCCCCATAATATGAATCGGAAAATGGATATGATGCACATGCCTACAACACGGAAGGAAAAAAATAGGTTATAGATTTTAGTCATCAACTTATAGTGAGAAGAAGAATAAGATAAACATCAAATTATAAGTTTCTAAGTTTCATACAAAAAGCATACACAAGAAATCACTAAGGACAACTATATTATCAATGGCCCAAGCATCTGCAGAAGAGAATGCACAAATGCATTTGTGAGGAGAGTGAGAGATTACAATGTTGTGTCCAACACGTTCCAGCTGTGTAGGTGGCGTGAAGTATTCACCCACTGGCTGATGCACAACGGATGCAGTGTACTGCTGCGGATGCTGTTCTCTGAATTTCCCATCTGCTCACAGAAGAAAAAGTACACTTAAGTTTCATATTTAAAACAATGGCTATAGTTTGTCATGCAGAAAAATATTATGTATTACCAAGAAATTGGATCATATAGAAACTATTTAGCAAGAAATATCTTAAGTTCTGTTATAAAATTAAACAGCATGATGCATAAAATACAGGTTTACATCATTGATAGTTTAGATGGTTGAGAAGAGACATAGTTATCAACAAAGGTGGGAAAGGAGACCAAAAGGTAAAGCAATTGATTTTCAGATGATTAGTACTTTGTATATTAGTATGTCATACTGCAACAAATCAGTTCCTTTTATAAGCTATAATACTTAAGGTACTTCTTCCAAAGTTTAATCGAATCACATATGCAAATTATCATCCGCAATCCAAATCAAATGCATTGAGAATAGATATCTTGGATACATTTAACACACTTAACCTGGCTAGCAAGCTCATGCTTCAAAAATTGTTTAAGATTAAAACCACATAAAAGGCATAACATTTTAAATTATTGACGTATTATAAACACTAAAAATTGAAATTGTTGCCAGATATATGCATGCGTGCGCCTTGCAGGTGGTATACATTAACAATATTGTACACTGCTGTAGCAGTTTAGATCTGAAGGTACAGTTATAAAGCTTATGCATCCACTAAGATTGTTCCCATCACATTTTTTTTCTTAAACAAAACTGAAAAAAGAGCAAGCTCTTTCACCGAAGTTGGTGAATTCAGTTGTGTTTTAACTCCCTTAAACATTCTAGCGATTCAATGTCATGTGAGCCATTCATCAACTATTCTTCATCTCAAGCGAATAAATGCCAACCTGTTTGATCAACTCAATACGACATTAGTTTTTATTATGAATTGAGCCAGCACTACAGAAGCAATCCAAAAGGATAGATCTCCTACATAAAATTGCAAACATGTACCTGACTGAGACATCGCAATAACTTGTGTTTCTTTGTTTACTTCAGTTCCCTTATCCGATCCATCCTTGACTTGGGATTTGCTAGTTTTGGACCCAGAATCACCATTTGCTCGCTGTTCTGCTGCAGTAATATCTGTCATGGTTTCCCCTAACATGTCTTGGGGGAAGCCATCATGTCCTATACCACGCCACCAAGGTTGAGATGCGTATGATTTATTGTTATTTGCTTCAGGCCCAGGATTGTTTGTGCTGTTTGGATTTTGGTGCATGCTTCGTAACTCTAAATTCGATAATCCCAAATCTGCTGTGCAGAAAAAGAAAATTATAAGCGAGGAACAAGCTTAACATTGATATATTAAAATAGCAACACAAAAAATATAATTTCATTGCATACGGCCATAAAGGGAATTAAACAATCTTTATATAATCAGTTAACAAACATAGGTGTACCAATACAAGGAATGATGCAAAACAATTATAAAACATAACAAAAGGTGATTTCCATTGGCATATGAAGAAAACTATTTGATTTACTAACCAAGTAGAGTTTGAGCAGCATAGAGCAAGAGACAAAAGAAGGAAGAATAAAGGATAATGAGAAAAAACATATTATCCTCCTTTTTTTTTTTTTTTTTTTGATATTCAGGAGTGTCCGGGCTAGCTTGCGTGCACCTTAACTAGTCTCTTGGGGTCCTGAAGTTAACGGCCAGGTAAGCCTCCATTGGCTACCCATTATTAGTAGTCGTGGAGATTCGAACTCAAGACCTCTTAAGTAATACACCCAAAAGTCCCAAGCGAACCGTCAAGCTACCTAGAGGTAGTTAACATATTATTCCTCAGCATGTGCTCATCCACATATTTATTCGTATTATACAGTTGATTGCAAATTTTCTACATCTACTCGAAAACTGGGGGAAAACTAAGCAGAGCCTAACAACGTAAATAGATTTTCCCGTACAAAGGACTTGGCATGACTTGTTCATTCAGGTAGTGAATAAATCCTAAGCCTCATTTTGAAGCTTATAAATATATAAGCCAAGGCAAAACATACTACCTTCTAAAGGTTGATTCCATAGGCTTGCAAACAAGATTTGTCAGGGAATTTAACTATGATCACGAAATATAATCTTCTATACTAGTGATTTTTTATGAATTCTCGCAATCTTTATCCATCTATAAGAAATCTAGTGAGTTCATTAATTAACATTTTAACATATACAAGTAAAAAACATAATTTTCCCAAATATGGACCCTACTTCTAAATAAATTTATAAATATTAAAAGATACAATCCTGGGATCACATTTTCAAATAAGCCAGAGTATGTTTAATTGCTCAGAAGCCAAACCCTTTCATCATGAAAAAATTGCCAAAGGTTAGATTAGATATGATCGGCCCGCTTTGATTTCACCAAGAGTACTTCATCGAAATCCATCAATTAAGTTTTGAGGCAAACCAAGGCTTATTAAGCTAAGCCAGTCTCTGCATCCCTCCCTTCACTAACTAAAATTTAAAGATGACCGCAGAGATCCACTTTTGTGTGTTATGCAAGCGTCCTTTACCCAAAATAGATCTATTCAATAAAGGTCTTACTCAAGCTCTCTATCGCTAGAGATACAAGATGAGACAATCAGAGTTTCTAAGAAAGCTCTGCAGGGATTTCAAACAATTAAAATATATATGATCTTGTGCACTGCTACTAATAATAATATGTTTCATCTGCTCTACGATATTTTTACCCATCTATTTGAAACTAATATAGTTACATCTTCATTCAAATAAATCCTCAATACTGATCTTACTTTCATGTAAACATATAATTATCAAAGTGATTCGACCAAAAGGTCGGCCCAAGACCTTGCTTCAAAGCAATCAAAACTATAAAATGTCCTTTTTGCTGGTCTAACAAAACATAAGTTTTAAAAAATAATAAAGAAAAGAAAAGCCGATATTCTACTCCTTAGCGAAATTAACTAACGCGACATTCAAAACAATTTCACAATACCATCAACCGCACGTCCCATGATCTCGCATGGAAGACATTAGAAAATAAAAAAAAAAAAAAAAACACAAAGAAAGAGATAAAGAGTAAGACATGATTCTGAATGGAGAAAATGAATAAGGAAAACTTCTAAATGCCTATTATATATACATGCATGCATGCATTAACAAAGCTGAATTGTACTCAATTCAAAGCCTAATCTAAAACCATCACCAGACAATCTTAAACAATAACAAAAATTGCTCCAAAAACATTAACATACCAGCTATTAAGCAGCATATATGAATAGTTAAGCAAACTGAACCAAACAAACATCAAACCATCAGACAATAAAGAAAAGAAAATGAGTAATCTTCAAAACTAAACAAAAAACCTCTCGAACCAACATGAAAAAATTGCATGCATAAACAAGAGAAAAAAGAAGTTCGGGAAGAAACTTACAGTAAACTTAAGGGAAACAGAAACTCAAACAAATTTTGTATTCGATTTTGCTGTGAGTCTCAGTTTTCAAGTGAGAGAATCTTGGAAGTAGAAGCAGTAAATGATAGAGCGAAATTGCAGATTTAAATAATTTTTTTATTTTATCATTTATGTTTTGAGAAAGGAAGAAGAGTTCTGATTAACGTCGTTTTGTTTCTCCCGCTTAAAGAGTGTTTTGTTTATTGTGAAAATAAAGTGACGGAAGAGGACCTTTAAATAACAGTGTAATGACGTCAATGTCCATTTTCGGATTTTACGATGTCGTCCTTCCTCGTATCCGAGTCACAACAACACTTTCTTGCAGCCATAGAAGTTTGAAAGAGTCACACCAAAACACCCCCCCTCTTCACACATTTTCCTTCTTCGTAATTAATTAAATAATACAAATTAAAATAGAAGATGCGACAATCGCATTTGTTTCAATAAATTAGAATTTAATAAAAAATTAGAAATAAATAATACACGCTTTTAACTTGTATGATTTTCTTTTAGGATGGTATAGAAAGATATTCAAGAAATCAAATAAATACATTGAATATGCTTACAAAAGAAAATATTTTTTAATTAAATAAAAATACTTTTGAAAATGTTCTGACCATATATATTTCCAAATTTTGAGAAATGTTAATTTCTAAAGATCTCAAAAAAAAAAAATAAAAAAAATGTTTCATGAAATAAATTAATAATTAAGTTGTATATTTTTTTTAATTTGAAAATAAGTTTATTATTGATATAAGCAATAGAATTTTTTTTTTATAATCAGAGACCTAATTTACAATAAATAAATAAAATTATTTTGTAGTTTTCAATCCTATTTTATTTTAAAATATTTGTATTTAACTGCTAAGAGATAAAATTATATATTGAGAAAAATAATGATAAAAATATCTACATCGTCGTCAAGGGCAGAGGATATTTTGGGCATTGAGAATACAAAGAGGGGTAAATTTGTCTTGAAAGATTATTAACTAATTAAAAGAGTTAATTAACCAAGGTTAAACTCCTAACCGTCAAAGTTAAATCACCTAATTTCAGTTGCATGTGCCGAGACTGATTAAACGCCGCAACGTGTCCTTGAGTCACAATCAAAGGCCCCAAAACGGCACCGTGGGACCCCCAAAAGCACCCGAAGAGTCCAGCCACGTGGTACTCAAGTCCACGCAACAGTCAGTGAGTTAGGTAACGTCCCTTTAACGGCGCAGCGGCGTTACGCTGTCGTGGCATTAGGTAGCAGGTGTGGTCCCGTACTGGACGTTAGACGACAAGAAAGGATCTTCGAGACGGCGACTGTCAACGCCCACGTGTCCCCCAAGAGAAAAGGGGTTATTATAAGCCGCCTGTAAGACGAGAGGTTGAGTGCCACGTGGGATTGAGTGGAAACTTTGGGAAGGTAAAAGAAGACAGCTCATACATAAGCGTGAAGGACCAGTAAGGATTTTGCTAAATTACAAAATTCAGTGGGACCTACAATGTCTTTCAAAGGAAGTGAAAGTGTTAAAGTCACAGGCTGGGGAATTACGTTCACTTGCTTGTTCAATTGAAGTCAACCAACCACTGAAAATTTGTCTTTTTCTTTTCCCTTTTCTATTTATCTCGAAATATTATGGAATAAATAATTTACGGAGACGTATAAACTATAAAAATTTGTCTTTTTCTTTTCCCTTTTCTATTTATCTCGAAATAT